CGGGGGGTGCTGTGGCTGCAGGGCCGGGAGGGGCCCAGCGGTGCCCAGGGCGGGGAGCAGCAGAGGGAAGGGGGGCATCACCGGCCTTCATCACCAGCACCACAGCACAGCCCCCCCGGGGGACACAGGCCAGCGGGGGCTTCCCAGCCGCACAGAGCAGCGTAAAGAGCCAAGAAGCAGGAGAAAGAGCCATTTATGAGGCCAGGATGCAGCCATCCCCCCCCTCCTTCCTGCCCCCGAGCCCCAAAGGGCGGCCATCACGTCTCTTCCCTTGCCAGAAATAAGCTGGAGGTGAGCGGGGGCCGGTAGCGTGGCTCGGTGGTCCACGGGGAGATGGAGTGGGTGAGTGGAGGGGGAGACTGTGGTTGGCTTGGGTGGTGGGGTGGCCAGGATGGGGGAGAGCGCCTGGGACCACCGAGCCCGGCTCGGTGGTCCTAGCCGATAGTTACTAGCCCACTGTACAGCAGGAGAAGAGCCAAGAGCCTCCTGCTGTGGGAGGGAACTGGGCATCACCCCCGCCCTGACCTTGAGGGAGGGGTGAAGTATTTTTTCCGTCATCCAAAAAGCTTAAAAAAATATATATTTCCCCACCAGGGAAGCAGCAGGCTCTCTGATAAAGGGTGGGTGGCTTCCCCTTCCAGACATGAGGTCTGCTGTGGCCAGGCTGGAGCACAGGCTGCTACAACGGGGGGGACAGGGGGGACACAGACATGATGCTCCTGCCTGTCTGGTTGTGGGGAGGGTGTCACCAGCGGGGAAAAGCTCTGCAGAAAACAGTTAGCAAAAATCTTCAGCTGTCTGAAACTCCCTGCCCGCCTCCCTGGGGACAGGGGTGTGCCCCCACCGCCCTCCCACTCCAGCCCTCAACTGCTGTTTGTCTCCCCACCCTGGCGTGACAGCTCTGCCTCCCTCCCACGCTGCTCCAGCCCTGTCCCGGGAGCCAGGATGAGCCCCGGCACAACTGAGCTGCCTCCAGAACCCGGCAGCAGCCCCGTTTTTGGGGTTTTGTGGGGTTTTTTTTCTGCGGTGAAGTTAAATCTTGGGGGCTCTGAGCAGCCCCCACGTCCCTGAGCGTTGCAGACACGTCACACCCACTGAGTCACTCCCGAGAACAAACTGCTTCAGACGTTGGTTCCTCTTGGCAGGGTCTTACCCGAGGCCGAAATAAAAGTCAGGACCAAAGTCACTGATAGGAGGAGAAAATCAGCAGCATCTCCCATCCGTCATGTGTCTGTCCAGGGTTGGACGCCGCAGCGATGAAAACCGGTCCCAGGGGCCACCAGTAAATACCAGAGCTCTGGCTAACGCTGCCCCCGGGGGGGGCTGGGGGGGGGGGCTGCCCTGGCAAAACCCCGGGGCTTG